AGAGAGAGAGAGAGAGAGAGAGAGAGAGAGAGAGAGAGAGAGAGAGCGAGAGAGAGAGAACACGAACCAGGTCAAATGATACTAGGACACAAAAACACCCTTAATTGAACACCACCTCGAATCGAATCCCATTGTAATGGCAAAGCTTTTCTGCAATGACAATCCATTGCGTTGGACGAGTCAAGATGCATGTGTTGCTGCTGATGCATGTGCGTGTGTTACAATATTGTTTGTCCAATGTTCAGACACCACCATATATTCGAATCCAGATTCTCTTTCACTACTTTTGCACACCTGCAAAACGACTTCATAATAATTCGATGGATTTCCGAGAAGTATAAGCACAATTCATTATATGGCATGGCTGCCTGTCTGTTCGGTGAATCTGTCGAAAAATCGAAAATTGCAAAATTAACAATTCCAATTCAGTATTTTCTCCACTGGAACAGATACAATCAAATTTGAATTTAGGAAAATGTGTATACGAACCATATTTTCGGACGGGAAATGAATCCCACCTCCCTCTCAACCCCATTGTTTGCACACAATACAAAATTTAATCAAATGCAAACGCTCGAAAATCAAAAGGAATCGCAACAAAATGGCACTTGATTGAATTTTCAATCGCGCGCCGCCAATCTAATGCGAAATTGTATTTTCCAGTGCAATTAACAGCTGAACAACAGATGTGTTGGCCATCTATTTTCATCAGGCGACAATGATCATAATTCTATTGTAGACAATCAGCACTTTGATAATTAACAATAATCTATGCGAGTGCCAACCTCGCAACTCATCCTTCACCACTGCCTTTCCCGTTGTTTTTTCTATCGGTTGTCGTTGCCGCCGCTTCCATGCCAGTCGTCTCCTTCGTTTTGTTTCTCTTCCATTTAATTTATATATTATTATATATATGTGTGGCATATTTGCCAGGCGAATAATAGTAGCCATTTCATTATAATTTTAATTAAGCCGTTAGCGATTGCAGAACATGCTGCACACGCAAAATACTATACATAATATGCAACATATAGAATTGTATAAAACGATGTATTCTCTGAATGACCTAACTATTGTTCTTATCCGCTTCACATGATTTATAATCGACCTAGAAATTGTTGCAGGTCGCGAATATTTTTACATACAATTGCCAGTTCATTTTTGTGCACGATCGCACACAACCGTTGGATGAACACGTGAAGCTTTTTTTTCTCTTCTGTATGAAACGACTTAAAAAAATGCATAATCCGATTAACTGCTCCCAAATGACATATCAAACAGAAAATCACCCGTTGCAATCAGACCGTTTTTTCTGTGTTTTTTCTGCTTAGTTTTTCAACGGATGCAACCAATTTACAGAGTTTTTCCCATGGAAAACTCTTTCTATGATTCGACGAAAACGTGATTTATTGCCATCACATTGTCGATTATTGCACGTGTTCAATCAGGATTTGATTGCTACTTGTAGCTGTGGCTGGGTCTATGATCAACGGAAATCAAATATGACATATTAAATCGAATTTTTGTTCCAAAACTGACAATTTCTGTTGTGGCCATTTACTTTTGGTGGATCATAAATTGGACGAATACCGGAAACGTCTTTTTTTTATACCGAAAATAAGTACAAGTATTAGAGCAAAACATGTGAAAATTATGTTTCCTTTCATAGAATTTGTGGTGAATTGCAACCGGATGTGTTTAAGTTTTGGCTATAATTCATGTTCACCAAGCGAACTGAGTCGAGTAAATACATTGACGTTGTTGCACATTTGCCGTATCACTGAACATTGATTTGAAAATGCAATACATAGAAGGAAAAAAAAATGGGTTTTCGTCATTGGAATTTTCCACGGTTTTTTCGAACCAGAGAAAAATCGATTGCCAAGTTTATCCTAAGCTATAACGATGCAAGCGTTTTTTTTTTGTCGTTCCTACCATAGAAAAAATGTGACGCAGACAATAAAAATTGGTATGAATTGACATTGCATAACGTTATCCGATTTCAAATGCGTCCAATTGTTATTCTTTTTTGTCTGTTGTTGCTGCTGCTCGAGAGCGAATCAAACTCGGAGAAAATTCGAAAAGCGACCGTTTACATTCCATAAAATTGGCCAAATACACATTCCAACCATTTTGGGGGCAAATGTTGAATGCATGGAATGTGCGAAAAGAGTGAAACAATGCGAAAATGTTATGTATACTTTATTGAAACGGGCATTTAGTGTTTAAATTTGCATTTTGGTAAATGGGGTCGGTATATTTGGGTGTTAGTTTTTCATTATTAGTTTAATTGTCTGGGAAACCGAGAGAGCGAGAGAGAGGGAGAGAAAAAGAAAGAAAGCAAACTGTTGCGTAAAGTGGCAATGCCAGCAAAAGCAACAGTTCAACGCTATTATCGCCAAATTTATACGTCCATTTCCTCATGCGCGCCATGAACAAATTTATAACAACACTCCACAACGAAATTTTGCTGCGGATATTCGACTATTCCGACTTGTTTCTTTTCCTCTTTCGCTCTCTCTCTCTCTCTCTCTCATTCATTTTTCTTTCCCATTTGCTCGTTTGCTTTCCACTCACTCAGTTAGCAAATGAATTTGTAAAATTGTATGTGGAATGTTAATATAACCACTTGCTCCATTTCGATGTGCAGTGCACTAAGAAACTGGATAAATTCCCTCTTATTATTTCTTCGTTGGAAATACTCTTTTTTCCCGACTTACTTTCGTTCTTTCTTCCGTTCTTTTTCTGTTTATTGAGTTGATTTTTTTGCTTCTTCACTCACAATAATTTAATAAAGCCACATTAATCAAATTAGTTACGATGCTTCATTTTGTTTGCAATGTTTTAAGTCGGACATTCTCTCTCTCTCTCTCTCTCTCTCTCTCTCTCTCTCTCTGTGTGTGTGTGTGTGTATGTGTGTTACACAGTTACAACACAAATTGTGCGTGTTATCGCGAACGCAAATCAAGCCCTCTTCCTCGGAAGTTGGTTGAGCGACGCATTGAGATCGCTTTAGCAAATGTCTAATGAAATTCAGCTCAATATTTTCATTTATTCAATTTAATTGAACCAAACAAAGGAGTTCGAAAGCAGAGTGTATGTGTTTGTGTGTGTCACTTAGGCAGCACTGAGAAAATTTCAACATTTTCTTTTTATTGTACTCCCTAATGCGTTTCTACAAAAGCTTTCTATACACTTTGCCCTCGTCTCCGTCTCTCCGTTTTCCATTCGAGCGACGATTTTCTATCGGTATTGAAAGTGCTTTGTTCGATCTCAAGTTTTTGGTTTCACATTATTGATCATAAACAGCATCATATTTCATTTCACACACACACACACACAATCGTGTGGTTTTTTCCCTCCCATTTCACATGAATGTTGTTGTAATACGATAAAATTTTATGTGGCGAATATGTTTTTTTTTTCTTTCGGTAGGGGGGAGCCCTTATAAATAATTTATACCAACATTCCACGAATTTATCGATGGATAATTGCAGCCAACATACACACAGATTGAGAGAGACTCTAATTTCATTCAATTCACTCGATTTTCCACACCGATTCTCATTTTATCGACGTACACAATGAATGGAACAAAGACACTGTTTAGCACTTAAAGCTTCAGCTTCAGCTTCAAGTTGGCAATTCGACACCTATTCATCGATTCGAGGTTTTCTGAAATTAAACGGACATTTACGATTTTCCTTTTGCTTTAACGTGCATCGACATTTGTACAGGTTTCAAGAAACTCGCTTTTTCAGCTTTCACAATGCACCTTTTTGCAAGCAGTGGTTCAGAAATGAAAACGATACCGATCTGAACACGTTCAACGCTTGGGTGTAAAACTAACCAGAGATATAAAATAAGATGAACACTTATCACTTTCAATCGGTATCATTCAACGGTGAAAATAGTGCGAATTAAAGTTTTGCATAAGCTCTCAATCATTCAAAAACCGCTGACAACCACGCTCTTGTGTCAAAATCGATCGAAAATTGTGTGCTGTTCCCAAGTGAAATGGAAATTATCGTAAAATGTCTCATTTACTAAAGGCAAAATAATAATAATGTTGAGCAGCGCCTGTCCGAGAGCTCACGGCGCCCCGGTACAAATTATATACATGCGCCCATATGCAACATTTTTTTGTTAGAAAAGTTCTGTTAACGTTTAACGATGATGACGTTCGAAAACTAGATTTTCCATTTGATCTCAATTTTGTTAAAAGTGTCGATGAATCGAATAAAATTACGATTTTTCACCAATTCTGTAGACATCGTCATCTCCGAAACCAGATCGACACAATCAATATCAAAATATACCATGTGTCCATTGTTCAAATACCATTAGGCAGATATCTCGATAATATCGTATGATCTGAAGGATTTTGTTGGGTTGCTATTTTTCATGTGTGCTGATGGGACGTTGATTAAGTATCTCTTATTATTGTGGCGATGTATATGAAACGCACGGAAGCAAATATCTGCCTTATGCGATAATTGAAAAAAATAATGTGTTTTGAACGCATTGAAAATTTTGTACATTGATGCGAGCGCAAAATTTCTTCGCGTTCGTGCCTCGATGCCTTGCACCGGCGGTTGGACAGGCGCTGATGTTTAGTCATAATTGAAAATGTTTCAATTGTTATGGCATCGCCAATATTGAATTACAATAGCGTATTATTTTACCGCAATTAATATTCGTTTAATTGATTATTTTTTGTCCCCTGTTGGTGTGTGTTTGTGCATGTTCATTCACTTTGTAAATGATATATATGCAAAAAGTGACAAACAAGAAGCAATTGCTTGCAATATGCATTAATAGTGGAAAATGTGCTCGGTGTTGAACTATTTCCATTTAATTTGGTGTGGTTTTACACCTAGAGACTTGACAAAATGAAAATTGTGTCATTACAACGCGCGACACTTCAAACAAGTGTTTAAAGAAAGCTACATAAATTAATTTAAAAAAAAATTCCCATTCCATTTCATCTGTATGTATTCTTTTCTCATTTTGGTGTGTTATTTCAGGGGCTGTGTGTGGCGACATTGTTTTGCTTCTTCAATGGTGAAGTAATTGCACAGGTAAAGCGAAAGTATCGAACGTTTTTCTTCAGCAGTCGAGCACGTTCGAATTCGTATACGGCAACGCAGGTCTCAGTAAGTATCGATTTGTGTATTTCTCTATCAGTCTTCTTCGAATGCAGAGAAGCGTATGATAGACACGATATATTCAGTTGCCGACGATTCATGATGTTGTGCTTGTTTCAATTTGTTCATTCGATTTGTTATCCATCCGAATGACTCCTCTCATTCCCATCCCACCCTTGTGATTTTTTCTGTGTAATTTTTGCTGCTACTGGAGCATGTTTTCCGTGGGCAAAATTACGAAGAATCAACTTGAATATCCCATATCTTGATGAATGGGCAATCAATCATTTTGCCTGTCATCAAATTATACATTTCCCTTTTGTGAACATCGTGCTTGTCTGTTTGTTTGTTTGTTTGTTTGTTGTGGTTTCGCACCACTTTTGTTTTTACGTTGAAATGTAATTGTTTTTTCTAGTAAAAACATCACATTTTGTACGTCATACAATTGCAAATTTCAATTTAGACACACAAATTGCAGTTTGTTCGTAATGGACCACCGGTGCCGGGGGAGGAAAAAGTTTGACTACGCGACAAGTCATACCGAGCCCATCGGGATCGTGACGGTGATGATGGTGATGATGACGATCAAATCAAAGTAACCATACACACAACGCCCAACTACGATTACGATCCAAAACGAAATAGCCAGCCAACGAATGATAAGGGCAACTATTCGAATTGGTCAACCGATGCCGGTGAAACGCTTGAAATGCTCGACATGACTCAAACCAAACTCAATAATCGAAATGGACGCGGAGAGACGAAAAACGGTCATCATGTAAATAATTGCAGTGGCCCATTTACAAACAGTACATCAACCGAACCAATCGAAGCTTACGATAACCTGTAAAATTTGCATAAAACAAAAACAAAACAAAATAACTTTTAATTACACACTATATAGGTGAAATGACTGTAGGCTATTCGCCGCCACCACCACTTGCACTCGACAGTCTGAATTATATTGAACTTATTTTAAGGTTAAACACATACTGTCACCACACTGATACATATGCCGTTTCCATACACGTCGACAAAGTGATATTTGATATATGGTTCGTTTGAAACGAACGCACATTCTACCATATCCAATTGCGATCGGATTCGGATCTATCACTGTGTGACACTGTTGACAATGAACAACAACACACAAAATCGAATATATGCTCTAAAACAGCACAAATACATCCTCAACCTATGTATTAAGCATAACAATTTTAACATTCAGAACAAAAAAGAAACTGTTTCATTTGCGTCACAAAAAAAAACAAACAAACAGTTTTGTATTATTTAAGTGTTTTACAAATTTAGAAGAAGAAGAAAAAAAGAAAATCAAATGAAAACAATGTGTGTTTAATCGACATCTCTTCAAACACACAAAAAATAGCAAAAAAAAAAAAATAAAGCATAAAAAATGAACTAATAATAATTGAAAAAAAAGAATTCTAGTCGAAGAGACATGCAAAAATGAATTGTTTTTATATTTAAGAGTGTACAAAAACAAAGAGAGTATAAGTGTCTTAGTTTCATTATGTTAAAAGTGGACGGTAAAATGCTATGACCTATGTTTAATTGTAAGAGAAGTTCAACGAGAGCCAACGTTTTTTCCCGATGTACACAATTTAGCCGAGAAGTCAGACAGGCCCATATTGATTCACATAATTTCAATCAGAAATCAGTTTATTTAGCAAAATAAAAATTTAGACATGGCCAAGCTAATGCGAGAATATAAATGTACTGATTAACAAACAGAATCAATGTTAGCGAAATTTATTAACACAAAACATCAACAAAAACTTTCGTACGATTGTTGTTTTTTTTTCGTATCTCATTTTTTATGTTGTTGTTGTAGTTGGTTTTTGGTACGATATACTCATATTTTTATTTTGCATTTTCTCTTTTAGCACTAATTTCAACTCGTTGAATGGGTTTTCTTGTAACTCTAATGCACAAAATGAAACACACAGAGCTTATCTAATCTCAAAGAAAGATAAAACAAGTAGGGAAAAGTTAAAGGAGAGAAAGAAAATAAATCGAACAAACAGAGATACAGACAGACAGAGAGTATAAATGGTGCAGACATTGTTGAATATTTCAAACAGAGAAAAAGAGAATATTGGGAAAAAGGCTCAAACGAAAGTTTCGTGCGTCGATGATTTGCGTCCAAAATCAAGTCGCTGATCTTTTTCTTTCTTTCGTATGCATAACAAACACAAACAACCTGCCAATGTGAACGGTATGCAACTAAAATCTATATGGTTCAGTGGTCGGCCCCATCTAATCTACACTCAAATCGAATTCCCTTAAAGAAGAAAGGAGATAAGGTAAAAAAGAGAGAAAGAAGAGAGAAAGAAGAAAGAAAAAACTTTATTTGACATTATAGAATCATTACAAATCAGGGTCACCGAATCGGTTTTTATTACATCAACCAACAAGTTCAAGAAATTTTCGCTGTTATGGTCTCCATAGTGTCACTATTCAATGATGGAATTTTTCGGAGGGGTTGCATTCTCTTTGACAAGGGTGCACGTTATACACTTACACAATTTCCTCTATTTTCGGGATTAAATTTTTTTTCTTTTTATGTGTCAGTGCAAGTGGGAGCATTTCCAATCGCATCCTCCTAAAATCAAACCGAAAATTCATTTACAAACGATTAAATTTTATGCATTGAGTTGTTTTTTTAACATTTAGGATAATGATACAAGTTTATCGCAAGAATATGAGCATCTTCAAGTTGAAGAGTTTTGCAAGCGAAAAAAAAAATGAAGAACAGAAAACTATCCAAAGAAAATTGAAACTACCACTAAAAATGCAAAAATATCAATTTAAATATGACGGTTTTGAAGATGGATTTTTCAACGCTTCGTGAAACGATGAAAACATATTTTAGCAAATGTTGATACATAACATATGATAAATATATTTATAAAATCGCTTGTGATGATCACATTTATTTTCCCATTCGAAGAAAGAGACGTTATATCCAATGCACCAAAAACATATCTCAAACAACACTGCATTTTTCTTTCCTTGGAAATAGACATTTTCCTTCCATTTTTGTTTTGTTTAATGCAGAGATTACTATGAGATATTTTTATTCATATGGGATAGAAATATCGCATAAAAATATCAGATATTTTTCATGCGTTGCGTTGTTGTATCGCATCTGCAGTACAAAATTCATATTCCTTTCTGCGGTCCAAGTCGAATTTGAGACTGATCCGAGCCGAATTCAGCAAAATTGACTTGGCACGCAGAAAGGAATATGAATTTTGTACTGCAGATGCGTTACAACAACG